CTTCAGGACAGGAAGGAGTGGAGATCAGGTGGGCAGGACCCTCCACTCTCTCCTCCTGCCCTGCATCTGGGCATGGGAGGGGCAGCAGACAGAGAATTGCCCTACGTAGGGGCAGTCACTGTAGGGTTTCTGTGACATCTTCAAAGCCCCTTTCTGCTGCTCACCCTGAGAGTGAGGGATGAAGGTGGACAGGAATGTCTCTAACTGCACAATGTATCCTCGTCCTGCAGCACTGAGGTCTGAGCCCTTCCTTGTGCTGACGCTCAGCAAATTGCGTTTTGTGCTGAGGCTGGTGGAGACCGACCAGATGAAGCGGGCGCTGTGTGGAGGTGAGTGCCAGCCCCTCCTGCAGGTGCCCCCACTGGGCACCCAGGGCCTAACACAGAGCCTGGGCCCTACTGGAGTGTCCCACACTGGTAAGCGCGGCCTCCACTGCACTTCCTCGGCCTGATCCAACCACGAGTGGAGAACCGTCCCTCCCTGGGCTGGCTGGAGGCTCTGAGCAGTGAGCAGGATTGGCCCTTCATGACTCTTGCAGAGTAGTTCCCAGGAGCCATCACCGAGGCTGGAGCTGCCTCTAGGCCCTGGGGCAGATGGTGCAGATTGAATCCTAGTTGTAGCCCCTGGTCCATGCTCCACCTGTCCCAAATTCTCCATCTGCCCCGAGCAGCACAGAGGCTGCTGGGACACTGTCATGGCCACCAGGCATGCATGTCCTGCAGCACCTCCCTCCGATGTTCCTGTGCAAACGTCTTGTCTTTTCTCCCCCTCTGCAGTTGTGGAAGGCTTTGCCCGGGCTGCCAACCTGAAATTCCACGTCGGGGACGAGAGCCCGTTCCCCAGCTGTCGGGCAGCGGACTACGGTTTTCATGTGCTCCCTTTCTTGAACTTCATGAGCAGCAGCTGGCTGACAAGCGAGAACCTGGAGGTGAGGACTGCTGTCTTTCTAGCTGCATCGCACAGCTGTCATGTTTCACTATTTCTGCGTGTCTGTGCAGTCCTGGCAGGGAAGACCCAGTCTCTGGGGCTCATATCACGTGTCTGAAAATCTGCTCTGCTCACAGGCAGTGTGCAGTTGTGCGCGCTAATGGGTGCCACTGAGCACTGGGATAGGGGAAACTCCTTCTGGGCATGACTCCCTCTGCCCAGGGGGATGGCATCAAGGAGGAGTTTGCTCTCTCTGCACATGAATCTGGGCACAGCAGCACACTGGGGAGACAGCCTCAGTGCCATATCCCACAGCCCCTCCCAGCTGCCATAGATGGGAACCATGCCGACCGGGCTGGTCCAATGATGGAC